TAATATCAACACTCCAGTTAGACAATGTGCAACAGGCTGAAGTTGCAAAGGTTTGCTACTGAAGGAAGGGATTCGCCTGAGTTCACCAAAAGTGCACGGCTGAGCATTTTTTAAAAACCAAGTGGAGATGGTCACGCCACCATTATGTTCAGTCAGGGGACCAAACAGTAAAAGAAATGATGGACAAACTTATTGCCTAGGGGTGTGGATCAAGGGAGAAAACAATGATTGTGAATGGTTGAAGGAATGATGATTCTCAAGTGACGAGATATTAAATGATAAGAACTTGTATAGAAATTGGTGTAAAACAGTATTCGACACACTTGCCAATGTCCAGCCTTGGTTGTAACTTCATTGCTGCAATAAAAGATTGAATTTGGATCTACACGAGCGGCTTCTGACTTCTTATTTGGCGGGGAAGGAAGAACCACAACATTATTAATAAATACAGTGGTACCTCAGATCTCAAACTCATTAGAACCGGAATTTCTTAAAAGTCGAACCAAAAAATGACCTAGAACTCGATCTGAATCTCAGAAGTTGAACCGTGAACGCCGATCCAAGATAACTTGTATGCACATGAGTCACGCGGCACGTCTCTCAGCAGAAACAAAGGGTAACGCTTCAGTCTCAGCCTCACATTTGCTGTGATAGCATCGTGCATGTTTCCACTAGCTGAATACATATATTTAGACAGTAAAAATACATTTAGACAATGATAGACAGTAACAGTAATTATTATTATATAATAAAATACATTTAAAAATAAAGATTTCTTATTAATTATTTTAATATCATTAATAATAAACCATTAATACATTTAATTATAATTATATTGTCATGCCGAGTGGGGACGGAACGGAGACAAAGGCTCAGACATCAGGGTATCGGGGAATCCATGGTTTAATTACAGGTAAGGCAAGAAAAACGCAGATGTACAATACAATTACCGGACTGGGGAAACAAACTAAAACGCGGACTAAATACAGAGGACTAATGACAACAACCAGAAACAGCTGATCATACGGGGATTCCACATGGGGTTCACGAGGGGGCGTGGCACACGGAAGGAGCGGACAATTGGGGCAGGACACATTGGTTTCTTTTTTCACATTTTACACATTGTTTGGATACATTTATTTTCTTACTTTACAAATTATTGTTTTGATAAATGTGCTTAGATGTGTTTAGCACAGTATATGTTCTTCTTGTTTTATCTTGTTCATTTTGTTTAAATGCTAAAAAAACATATTTAGGCCTAATTTTTTTGGGGCCAGGAATCATTTAATTGGTTTTCTATTATTTCTTATGGGGAAAATTCGATCAGAACTCAAACTTTTTAGGATTCGAACCTGAGTTCTGAACGGATTAAGTTCGAGTTCTGAGGTACCACTGTATTAGGGTTGTAACGGTACATGGTGTATTTTCGAACCGTTTGGTATGCCCCTGATAGTTGAATACGCACACGTGAACCGCGGTATTAAGATATGCCTATACGTAGGCTATTGGCGTGAATATTAGTGAGTTTTTTCCCAAAAAAATACATCTAAAACACTGGAGTTGTCTTATTTTCGAGGGCTAGAATATCATTATACAACAGTAGATGACGTAAGTTACCCACCTTCCGGCTAAAAGTAGGCATACTTCAAGCATAATCCATGTCATTTCAGCAATACGACATTGAATGAGTGGTTATCCCACCCTCTCTCAATAATTGGTTGATATAATCCCACCCACTGTTGACAATTGGCTGACATAACATGATGCTGTGCTGTTGGTCAGCAGCCATTGACAGTTACCTTTAAATGTGAATTAATGTGCGTTTTTGTGTATTTAATTGTAAATATCATAACTGTGTAACGTTTGCCATGGAATGCGTGTGTTTGGTTCGTGTGTAACCCTGAGTGTTGTGTAAGCTATTGGTTTCCTGGTCAGTGCTGTTAATTAAAGGAATACAGTGGTACCTTGGTTTGCGGGCATAATTCGTTCCAGAAACGTGCCTGTAATCCAAAGCACTCATATATCAAAGCGAATTTTCCCATTAGAAATAATGGAAGCTCAGATGACTCGTTCCATAACCCAAAAATATTCTTATAAAATGATTAATGCAAAATATAAAGTAAAATTACATAAAAGAAATTAACCTGCATTTTACCTTTGAAAAGAATCGTGGATGGTGTGAGGGAGACGAGAGAGACGAGAAGACTTTCACTATAACTAACGGAATCACTGCTATCTGTTGGCTCACTGGAATCTTTTTCTTTTTGTGCTACTTTAACAAGGAACCTATCCAATGGCAGCCGCTTCTGCCTCCTTTTCGATTCCGCGGAAATGTGGACACTGCATTGTCGTTAAACAGATTCATCGCTTGCACTGCTACACCCTTATTTGGGTGGTGCTTTTCTACTAAATTTTGACTATACGAGTGAGGCACACTGACTGAGACAGAATGGGAGACGCCGACTGAGACCGAGCAACGATTACCCACAATCTCGCAGCGAAAGAGAGAGAGAAGAACCATTGGCTCAGCTGTGATTACGTAACGCTAGGCAAAGTGTATACGTAATATTCGTATTGCAAGACCTCGCTCGTTTATCAAGTTAAAATTTATTTTTAAATTTTGCTCGTCTTGCAAAATACTCGCAATCCAAGGTTTTACTGTAAAGTCCACATTATTGCTTCCTCTCAGCTCCCAGCGCACCTACGCCAGATATTCGGTGTTCCTGATTGGCTAGGAAACTGCAGCGTTACACCCCTAATAAATATGAATATATTTTAACATTTTGAATATTCATATTTTAAATATTAATATTTAAAATTATTTTATTTGTATTTAAGCGCCTTAGTGGCTGTGCCCCTCCTTATTTAGCAGAACTGCTTCACCCATATGCTTTATCTCGATCACTTGGATCAGCAGACCAGCTGCTTCTATCCGTACCAAAGGCAAATCGCAAACTAAGGGGCGAAAGAGCTTTTGCGGTAATTGCACCAAAACTCTGGAACGATTTGCCATTGCATGTGAGGCAAGCTCCGTCTCTTGCTGCTTTTAAATCTCGCTTAAAAACCCATTTTTACTCTTTGGCTTTCGGTCCAGTGTGTTGTGGTGACTGAGACTCATCTTTTCTTTTTTTCTTTCCTGTTTGATTATTCTTTTGCTTGTATTTTTTTTTGTTTGGTTTTTTTTTTGTTTTAGTTTTTATTTGTTTTTGTTATATGATGTACAGCACTTTGGTTAGCCAAGTGGTTGTTTTTATAAATGCTTTATAAATAAATTGGTATTGGTATTGGTATGACCAAAGAACGGGGCTGTCCAGGACCTAAAGCAGCCTGCATAGCTTACAGCTATATGCACCATATATAACTCTGCAAAGGCTACATAAGTTATATACATCAAGTACATCAGCACTCCCCATACAGCTGCACTGATAATGTCCGTATTGTTTTTGAAAATAGTTAGAGGTAAGGATGGGCCAATCCACATTATTTCAGTTTCGATCTGATTCCAATACCGATACAGATTCCAATACAATAGCTCTTTATACTTTAATATTTTAATATAATGTAAATTTTACAGTAAGAACTGTAATCTTTTGTTTCTTAATGCTAACAGTCTAGTGTAAATCCTGGAGGACATTAAGGTCAAATACATTTGGCCCCCCTAACAGAACAACTGGACCCAGTCTGCCCCCCCCCCAGTTGAAATGGACTTGAATCATGTCTGTTAATATCTGAATTTTTTCATATAAGAGTGGTTATCGTAATGGTAAGTATGAGGGTAGGTCTGGGCAATATGGCCTATTAGTAATATCGATATTTCATTGTGGTGTGTGTGTGTGTGTGTGTGTACATATTTTATTCTTTGGATTTTATTGTCATTTTTTACTGTGTATCTGCTGGCGCACTCCAAACGACATCTCATTGTACTTGTACAATGACAATGAAGGCATCTTTATCTTTATCGCAATACATGATATATCTTGATGTTTTGAAATTTCTTCTAAAGCGCTTCATAAATGCTTGATTTAACCCTTTCATTCATAAAATAATACCAGGAATGTCTAATTATAATTTATTATAAAGCCTAACCCTAATATGTTCAAAGGTATACTCCCCTTAGCAATGAAAACAGTATTATACATATTAAACAACCTTTTAACTTAATGAATTTGGACAACCTAACACTCACATTTCTCACCTCTTTTCTATGTGTATATGTGTCGCTGCCTACAGAAGTCCCTGCTGTCCCTCAATGAATGTTTTAAACTCCAAACAGGATCATTTAAAGCTTTTCAATCCATTAATTAATTAATTTAGATTTTTGCGTTTGGTTAGTACAAAACTGTGGTGCAACTTTGTTTTTGCATAATTTCCCTTCATATTTAACTGAATATTTGGCTGAACACAAAACAAGGAGTGGCAGTGTTGAGGGGACATGTTCCACAAATAGTGGACTTAAGCCAGATAACTTAAGCCAAAAGTAAGGACTGTCCAATAAGAAGATCGCTTACCTCTCCTCCAGTTGGACAGTTTTCATGTTTGGCTTAATTTATCCAGCTAACTGAGAAATTCTGTTTTGTGGGAAATCCCCCAAGTCGCCTTGGTTGGGCCTTACCCATTCAGAAATGTTTTCTCTTTTCATCCCATCAGCATTGTGTTATAAATCGCCTGCTGTTTGATGCTGGTGCAGCTCGCCAATGTTGTTTTGTCGTCCATCTCGCCTGTCACTCCCCCCATTTCACAAAACTGACAAAATAAAGATTTTTTTAACTAATGTTACATCTAGCAAACAGTTTAAGTAACGGTTGTGTCATGGGTGTGAATGCGTGCGGCAGACGACATCCCATGTAGTTGTTAGGTAATAAGGTAAACTTTGTCTTTCTGCTACCCATAAAACAAAAGTATAGACTAGGCCAGTCGTCACTGTGTTTTACCTGTTTTTAACCATTTAAGGACACAGGATTGCAAGTATAAACTTAACCAGGAAGTAAAAAGAATACCGGTAGAAAGAAACAAAGAGAGGTTTTATTTAAAACCGAAATTCTAAATGAAATGGACATTTTCACAAAAAACCAGGACAACTAGTCTCCCAGGAAAGAGTATTAATTTTGCGGGAACCGGAACAAGTAGCAATCATAAAAACACAAATATATAAGTCACATGGTGTGCATTATCCGCTATATTTTAATGCTTAAAGAACACTTAAATGAACATGTCTGTATCATTTAGGCATATACTTATCAGTATTAATTCTATCTTTTGTAGGTTAAATGGACCCAGTACAGTTATCATTAGTAATGCATAAGTATTGCGAGGGAATGCAAAACTATTTCAAAAGATGTTTTCCCACTGTGACCTTATAGGGCAGGTCTGCCCAGTCCTGCTCCAGGAGAGCCACCACCCCGCAGAGCTTAGGTACAGCCCCAATTTAACACACCTGATAATCAGGATAATCAGGCCCTCAGTATGGGAACCAGCTTAGCTTCAACACAGCTGACTAATACTGAGCTGCTACTGAAGTGCCTGATTATCAGGTGTGTTAAATTAGGGCTGTACCTCTCCAGGTTCAGGATTGGGCACCCCTGTTATGGGAGCTCCCTGGTTTCCTCCCAGATACAAAAACACACGTGTCATTTGTATGTGTCACAGACATTGGCTTAGGATAGTCGTCAGACTGGAATGGGCGGGCAAGTGCAGCGGCAAACCTACAATAAGCTGTATTTTATGTACAGTACTGAATTATAGCATTTGAATTATAAGCCGTGATGCATCAAATATATTCAATATGTCCCCCAGCCATAATTGAGAAGTCTGGACTCTACCAGTGGGGTTTAGGTATTAAGAGGAACCTCAGACTGTTGATTTTTGTCAGAGCTGTGATTATGTTTAGGCAACATCCTCCAGACATTTTCTATGTCCACTTTGTCTTGGAAGGTCTCTGTGGTGAAGTAGTAGACGATCGGGTCCAGACTAGCATTGAGGCAGGCCACCAAGAAGCTATGATGGAAGGCAGTACACAAGGTGGGGTTGGAGTATTTGGAGAGCAAGCCCAGGAGGAGATGGTACGGCAGGAAGCAAACCAGGAAGACCGTCAAGTTGGCAGTGACCATGCGCTGGATTTTCTGGCTGTTGATCATTTTCATCTGGGCCACGGTGCTGCGATCAATGGCGCGGATCATGAACCAGGAGCAGACCAGCATGGTGGTGAGGGGAATCGTGAAGCCGACGGTCAGCGTAGCGGCCACAGCCCCAGGCTGAGTGGCATAAATCGGGGAACTCCCAAAGCAGATAGAGTTAGGCTCCTGGTTCTTTATCATTTTGGGAAGGTATATGGGCAGGCTAGCCCCGATGGTTAGCATCCAGACGCCAAGACACACGAACGGGGCCTTCTTCCGGGCCTCCTTGACACGGGGTGACATGGGGAAGCAGACAGCCATGCAACGATCAAAGCTCATGCATGTCAACAGGAAGATGCTACCATACATGTTGACCAGGAGGACCAAACCAATAATTTCACACAGGCGGAAAGATGGCAACTCATATCCCAGGTGATAACAGATCCGCATTGGCAGAGTTAAGACCAGCAACAGGTCAGCCAGTGCCAGGTTGGTCATGTAGACAGTGGTGTGGGAACGAGACTTGGCTGAGCAGAAGAAGATCACCAGGGCAGTCAAGTTTAGGACCAGGCTGGTAAGGAAGACCAAAGAATATACAGCCACAAACACATAGTTCTCCTGTTTAATGGTGCAATTGTGCACAGTGGAGTTATTTGACATGGTGTCTTTAGACCTTGGCACTTCAGGAACTCTGTGGAGGACCTGAGATAGAAAGGCAGGAGAAAATACATTTTTATTAAAGCGAATCAACAAAACCGGCCTTGACAACATAGCTGGCCGTACGTGCTTAACAAAGACTGGGCAGAACAAAGCTGAAAACAGCATAATGGATATGCAAATGCCTTATACAATGTTACACAAACTTTACATTCAGTAGGACAAGTAGTGCATTAAAATGGATGTGAGAGGGATATAGGGCTCTCGAAGGAGCAAACAGGCACGCTTAGGTTCACTCAAAAACACTTTAATAAGTAATACAAAATAATCTCGCATTTACATCAATACCAAGCTATCATATCGAAAGCAATGCAAAATAGCCTCGTACTACAATGGGTATCAAATACTATATACATCCATCCATCCATCCATTATCTATACCGCTTTATCCATCTGGGTCGCGGGGAAGCTGGAGCCAATCCCAGCATCATCGGGCGAGAGGCAGGGTACACCCTGGGCAGGCCGCCAGTCCACCACAGGGCCTAGTATATATATATTATAGCTAATAATAGTAGATGCAAAGATACGAATATATATGTAGAAAAGAAGCAATGAAACATAAAAGAAGCAAGGAAACAAAAAGAAGTTACGAAATATTATCACAGGCGGTGATAATTACTTGCAAGAATCAATGAAAGGCATAAGCAGTTGCAAAGCTATTTACACTCAGACGTGCCCTCATCACCCACCTTCACACGCGGACTGGGGAGCCCTTTCAGTCCTGGCAGCAGACCAACACGTGAGTTCCGAGAAAGTGCCGGGCGATGCGCACTTTACCCCACGGCTGAGCTCTGGTCAGTACCGAGTTTTCCCCCCTTCTCATACTAAATTGGGCGCTGCGTGTGGGCAGGTGACAAGCTGGCCAGGCTCACCCCTTCCCCCAGGCAATGCGTTCCCCAATTCCCACTTCCGTCCAGGTAATACTGCTTGCTTAATGCCTTCCCAACCCTACTAAACAAGATAAGGTCTTCTGTTTCCTAAAGACAAGATAAGTGTCCCTCATACCAATCCTCCCCTTTCCTTGAGGACGAGATAAGCATCTTGCCAGTGCAACATATGGAACCACTTATTCTCCTCCTCAGGAAGAACACCTTAGAGAATCACAAGGTGAGCATCTTTTTAACAGCTTAAGCATCCCATAAGTTAGAAACAACAGGATAAGTGTCTTTAAACAGAATAAGTTTCCCAGGACAGTAATTTTTATGACTATCAGCATCCTGGCCCCTTTTATAAGAAACAAGTTACTCATGAAAAATAAGTTATACAAATAATCAGCAAAAAACACATTTATACAGTTCAACCTTGGCACAATAATATTATGGGTGAATCATGGACGATGTATCTGAATTTTAAGTAATCAAACCATCTAAGCAATTTACATACTACGTGGGTGACGTAATCGTCCGCGAGTTCATCCTAATACAAGTAGAGAGAGAGGAAATAAGACAAATTAAACTTCTAGGGCCGTGTTTCCCAATCCGGTCCTTGGGGACGGCTAGACAGTCCATGTTTTTGCTCCCTTCCAGCTCCTTGTCATACAGTCGACATTTTTGCAAAAATCTGGACTGTCTTGGGACCCCCAAGACCAGATTGGGAAACAGTGCTCTAGGGGTCCAATGCCAAATGGCATAATGGCTAATATCATAGAGGTCAGAAGTAAGCATTATTTTGCTTTTAGAAATCATTTTAAGAGGCCGTGTTTCTGTTCAGTTTCGTTCAGGCATTTGGGTGACATTCAGTTTGTGTTTAAGGCTGGGTTTATTACAGACAGCTGTTCAGGAAAACCGTGCACAGTACTTACTGCAATTTTCCAAAACCAGATATGTATGTTAGAAATTAATACTTAATGCCTGTGTTACATAGCACTGAAAGTCTGTAGGTGGCTGATGTCATGAATCGTGTGGAGATAAGTTGCCGATATGCAGAGCCACTTAGCAGATCTGCTCCAGTAAATCACTGGGCCGAGGCTACAGCTGTTAAGTGGCTTCAGAGGAAACAGTCCTGGATAAGCAGCTAAACGTCACTGATTCTGATCAGACATTGACTCCTCCCTTTAAGCTTATGCAAGAGAAGGAGTGAGTAGGAGAAGAAACATACAGGCCTGCTATAGCCTGTCTTTTCCCCAGAAAGATGAAGATACTAAACTGGAAAGAATACAGACTATCCATCCATCACTGCACACTGCACAGGGGTGCAGTGTGCAGGGGGCACACACAGGCGAGTACAGTGTGCATGGAGCCAGTCCCAGGAAGTGCAGGGGGGCAGGTAGGGCCTGGCCACATTGAAAGGCAAACTAGACCATATTATATATTTCAGATACTTTCAGTGTAGCTGAAATTTCAAACCTGGATGGAATTTGGTGTTAAGGACTGTGATTAAAATCTCATGGCCAGTATGAACAACAACCACATAAATGTGACAAGTCTGAAAGTTTGTGCAAGGTTCGATTTCCAGAGCATGATGAGGGACAATCAAATTGCAAACTGCATAACCACACCTGCCGCACTAGGAAAGCTTTTCATAGCGGCTGGGAGCCCGAGTTTAAGTTCTCGCGACGTATCATCCCTGAACGAGGCCAAAGTGAGAGCTGACTAGAGGGCAGCCCAGTAAGTGCGATAAAGCTCCAAATGCAGCGTAGCTTATTCTTACTGAGAAAATGGGGGAACCACAGAAACTTCGATGGCTTTAAAAGCAGGTTTCAGTACTAGTGCTGGCAGTTTGGTTTTTCATGGTTTCCTATTGGTTTAGAACGTTTCAGATTCATTGCAAAACTTCTAGCTGGGGAGGAAAAAAACACCCACATCTTCCATATTTACCAACGGCTTTCTGTCAAAGAGAAATAAAAATTATGGGCTATTTGAGGCCATATTACAGCATTTAATGTCGATTAGGCGCTAGGACAAGCCGTTTGATTTTTCCAATTGTGGGTTGATGGAAAATAACGAAAAGGAAATGATGTCACAATCATCCCAGACATAAAGGTGCAGGGATTCTTAGAAGTGTTTACGCTCACCACCTTCGGTATGCACTAGGATTATCTGCACACATCATACAGGTTCCGGCACTAAATGGTTGCTGTGTGACCATTCTGCATTTAAAGGGTGAGACCAATATAACAGAATGCGGATTTCTTATTTATTTATTTATTAAGGCTGTGTCTACATCAGTGGAATGATACAGTGAAAGTATTGTGTGCCCCCCCCCCCCCCCCCCCC